ACAAATACTTTAAAACAAACATATGTATTTTGTTGGGGTATCATAAATTGTCACTACATCATGGGGCGAGGGGGATACAGACACAAAAGTATAGCCATAAATGCCAGTTCAATCCGCACTCCTTCTTCTATAAAATAATGCTCCACCACTTGGACTACCACCAAAATGAAGCCAAGCAATTAGCATCCAAATATACTCAGCTTGAACCATCTATGAGCTATTTCTATGAGGATATGACCTCATATTATCATCATCTCTCTTATTTTCAACCCATCGCATCATCATCACAAAATTCGCCTCTTTCCCTACAATCAATTCCCCAACCGCTGGGAAGGGGGGGGGGGCTTAGTAACCTTACCTCTACGTGATGCACGCTCGGGCAACGTATACTCATATTGCAAAAGGTCTATAAACCGGCAGTTGCCCTCAAACTTCCAAATTTTATGGCCTCACTTCATGTCATATTCCACCACTTCCCAGTACTCATTGCACCACTTTAATCTACCTTTACTTCTGCCTCTCCTCTTATATCTGTGAATCACTCTTCTCTAACAATCGCCTCTCCACTTTTGCAATTTTCACCTATCTCCACTCTAATAAGCCCGAAGCTTACTAAAGGTCTAATGATGAATATCACAAAGAAGGCAATTTGATATTAATAACTATTCTTTTTAAACTATTTCACTCACTCACTCACTCACTCATGCAAGCAAACAAACGTACTTATTCAAACAAGCAAACAAACTCACTCATTCAAACCAAAAACAAACAAACAAGTTAGGATTCGAAAAGAAGCCAAATAAGTACCATTTTAGAAGAGAAGGAACGTTATTTCATGTACAAGAAACAAGGGCCAAAATAGAACAATGGTAGGTGAATGGAGAAGGGGTGGCCGTGTTGTGGATACGAATTTCATGTATTTAGAGATGAAGTGGTGGCGGCGGCTCTTATTGGACCAGATCGAGATTTGGGTAAGATAAGGATCAGAAATAAAAAATGAACCTCAGTTATTCCAATAAAGACCCCATTTAACAATATCTCATGCGGTGTGGATTGTGAATTATTGGGGTTTCGACATTTGTCCTGTGCGTTCTCATTAAAGGCATTAAATTTATGGGGTTGGGGCTTATTCAACAAAATCAGCGCTATGAAAAGTGTTCTAGAGTTTTGAACTAACCGTCACAGTCGAGTGATATTTTCCCATAATGCTATTAGTCAGATCGAAAGCAGCGATGGTTTGCTCCGTTCAGTGTTTTATGAAAAACCAGATATATATATATATATATATATATATATATAATATTACACCAAAATAAAACTTACTATTTTATTGAATACTAACCTTTCAAGATTAATTTACTCATGAAAAAGCGTTCATGTTAGTGTTAGATGAATTTAAGAAGTTAAATCCAGTTGTGCCGTTGATAAAGATTTACAGTGATATCCTTAGAATGCAGACTTCAGTGGAGCAGTTGCATTGAGAGTTTATTGTAGTGGAGCGCAAAGCCCGTTTGTTTTGTTCGACATGATAGTTTTCGAGATCAATAAGCACTGCAATTTCTTTAGGTTGTCTACTGTATCAGCTGGCTTCCTGTGAAAAACATTTATTTATTCCAAATGGCAGACGTTTTGATAGCTTTCATTAGTCCTTTAGCTGACTTCGAGATTCACTGAGGGAACAACATCAAAATGAGAAAATATCGAGGTGTTGGTGGGGGGGGGGTGGACAGAAGAGTGATTCGCTGATCCAGAAGAAAAAGACATAAAGATGGAGAAAAAGGTAAGATGAGTACTGCGGAGGTGGTCGAATATAACATGCAGTGAGTCAAGGGTGTTTGAAGTCGAAAGTCAACTGTCAGTTTATGGACATTTTGCCGTATGAGTTTTCATTACCCAGGGGGGGGGAGGTCACATGGAGTTAAGTCCATCTCATACCCAAAAATAATGCATAATACGGGGCTGATTTACACTAGATTTACAACACTAAAGCATTATCATTCACAACAAATATTCGATTCAAGTTAACATCTCCCTGTTATTAAACGTACATATAGAAAGGAAACTATTTTTTGTTTTAATTAAGCTTATGAAGTATTATAAAATTTGATTGAATATTAACTGTTTAAAATCTTGACGAATTCTTATAACTACGTGCATTAACTTTCATATTACCCAAGTGCATAGGAATTTGATTGGTTCTCTTATTCTCTAATCTGGTTTGCAAGTGCACATAGAAATCGAGTGATAAATAATCCCGTCAAATCAAATTTAGTTAACGCAATGTCTTCGCATCACGGAGAATTCCTGGTGATTTCTATTATTCCTTCCCCTACGTTGATAAGTTATAAATGGTTGAAAATATATAAATGAGCCAAGAATAAATGTGTATCTGCTCGATTCAAACAAAAATGGACACATTGGCTTCACTTTAATTCCTGGATGTACAATAAATAATTAAGATCAAGCTCTCGAATAAACCATATTTGAGATATTCGTAGTGATGGTGGAAAAATGAGTGGATGCAGATGTCCGTTTATATTAAATTTGAATTGAAGTCCTAAGATGTACTAAATTCACTTTCAGGACAAACAACCGCGGATACAAATGTGCCTTCCTTATTGAATCTTTTCCACTAACTCCAAGTAATTGATTTCATACTTTAACCACATGTGACTTAAATTATTTTTTTACATTCGAGTTTTTAGCACTGTCTTTGAATCTTCCCAAATTGTATATAAAAATATTTTTGAAAGTTTGCTATGCACACCAGATAGAGAGAGAATTTTAAATTGTCAATCAAAGTCCAAGACTAAATGTTCAACTCTATTTGATCCTCCAAAAAATAAACTCGCATTGTTGCAAAAGAAGTATGAATTCATAGGTCATTGTTTTAAGAGATCTAGATCCGAGCAACTAGTCAACCAAATTTGGTTTTCATATCTGAACAATGAATATCTTTGGCATAGTTTGTTCCATTTTGTGGTTTCATTGTTCAATGTATGAGACTTGGGGAATACCGGAATGAGAAATCTTGCATTCCTCAGTAGGAGTATCAATTCATTCTATCCTTTTCAATCTGGAAGACATTGAGCAGATTTGTAGTCAACAAATGTTCAAAATCTTAATGATTCATATAATTACTACCACAGTTGGTCTCTTTATCCACAAGTTAAAATAAGTGAGCGGTTCGATTTTGCTTCATAAATTTGAGTTGAACATCTTGTGACAGAATGATGAGAGGTTTTCAAATTGCTGACATGTTAGTATTTTGTCAATTATAAGAATAGGTAGTGGGAGGGATGTGCCTTAGATTGATTTTCCCACTGTCATTAGTCAACTTCATATGCGTCGTAAGAATGTGGGGACATACTTAATTTTAAGAAATATGATTTGCACCCGAAAAGCCCTTTATTATTCATGATTGGTGAGACTGCATTTCAGAAGTGGACTTTGAGAAGCTCATGAAACCTTACCTCGATGTAAGAATTTCATAAAATTTTTAATTCGGTGCTCCTATAAGATTCAGAATGATTAAGTGAATTGCAATAATCGATTATAAAGTGTATTTATAGGTTTTAATTTTCGAAAAAAAGGGTAGGGTGATAGACTTACCTCCATGTGGTGAACGCTGAACAACGTATACTCATACGTCAAAAAAGTCTATTAACGGGTAGTTGACTTCTCACTTCAAACTACCATCACCCCACAGTACTTATCTTACCTTTTCTTTACCTCTGTGTCTGTCTGCTTTACGTCTGTGAATTATTATTCTGTCTTCCTTTCGATTTTTTGCCACACTGATGTTCCTCCTCCACCTCCTCCTCCTCTCTGTGAACCCCAAAGTCAGCTAAGGTGTTAGTGAAAACTATCAAAGCGCCTTCCGTTTGAAATATAAAAATAATTTCAAAAAGATGGCGTTATTGAAGCTGATCCCACAGCTTTCCAAAATCGTCACACAGCTCCCACTTAAGCCACTATCCACCCCTCCCATTAGTGTTCTGTTTCTGAAGTCTGTGAAGTTGATTAATGTGCGATCTAAAAGAAATATCGAATAACCACATGCATGGCCTTATTGAAAGTAATAAAGATCGATTGCGCCTAAAGTATTTCGCTAAGCGAAGTTGTCACTCAGGTTGTGCACACCTTAACAACATTTGCTTTCTCGGAGCTACGCATTGACTGTCACCAAAAATAAACAAACCTCTCTGCAGGTGAACTAAATTGAATTGCTAAATTCTTGTGAAGAGAGGTGACAAATAGGCATTAGAAAAGACTGAGTCCTGATTTCTTCTAATGGCTACTTCACAAGGACATTTATGATATATGCATATCCCAATCACAAACAATTCTCCCAACATTTGGGAGAAATTATTTGTTAATCTTCATTGGAAATATCTCCAGAACTAAATAAACATTCTTTTTCCACTTGTGAAAATGAAGTTCAATTTCTAATTTCATAGTCAACGGTTAAATTTATTTATTTATTTTAATGATAGGTATCATTAGCCCTTTAGTTGACTTCAGGCTTCACAGAAAGGAAGATGAGCAGCAAAGTGGGAAAACGTAGAGAGGGGACAGAATAATGATTCACAGGTATAAAATAGACAGACAGACACAAAGGTAGATAAAGGTGAGGTAGTTTGAAGTCAGAAGTCAACTGCCGATAAATAGACTTTTTTGCCATATGAGTATACGTTGCCCAGGGTGCACCACGTGGAGGTAAGTCTATCGCACACTCCACTCAACGGTTAAGTAAAGCTTAAATGATTTAATCTTTTCATCAATCTAAGTTGGCATTAAGCTATTAAAGTAGATGAGTCATTCGAATGACGACATTTAAAAGGTAACCATTCGTTATAATAAATTTCCTTAAAAATATCATTGTTATATAATACCCTTTCAAACAGTCTGATTGGCTCGTTCTTAAAACTCTACCAGATTCCACTCTCGTACCACTTTTGTGTTATTTGAGCTAAAGCTCGTTAATTTGAGATTAGAAAATGGCTCCGTGTTATGGAGAAGCTCAGGCCCTCATCCTCGTCTTTGGTCTCAATTTGTTCTCCATCTTTTGTGATGGATGGATTTGGGGAAAGATTTTCTATGTTCTATGTCTTAGAGGATTCTATCCCTATACAACCACTACTTTGACACTTCTAATTATAGCTACGGTTTTTACTCTAATAGCTGGGATTCTACAAATCCTCTGCATGGTGAAACAAACTGAACGATATCTCCTGACCTCAAGAATTCTAACCTTTAGTCATAGCTACCATATTCTACTTTTTTGATAATATTTTAAATGGAATTTGGAATCAGCGTATTTTTCTACTCATAGTCGATATGGTACTTGCAATATCCATATACCAAATGACTAATATTTTGCATGTAAAACTCGGAAAAGGCAAAACTGCCTAAAGAGTAGCTTTCGCATTGTCCCATAAATATCGAATCGATCAATTTATTAACGTAATAATTCTGTAACAAATTTTATTTAATAAATTCAAACAGAGTTCTTTTGTATCTGCTATATCTTCTAATTCCTCAGTTACTTAAAGAGCGCCTCTTGACTTTATTTGGTTTGATTTTAATGACCGCAAGATTAGAGATTGTAGGTTTGTTTAACGAAGCACCAAATGTTGACTGTTAATCAATGGAATGTATCAGACATGGTTGGCTACACCGCAAAGAGTTTTACTAAAAGAAAGTCAATGATGAGGAACTTTAAACAGTAGTAAGCATTTGAGCTTTGGTATCTATCGTCCGCTGCTGTCAACTGGGTAAAGACAACAAATAACTTCGATTAGACAATTAGACAACTGAACACTATCTCCCTCCCCAAACAGATGTTAATACTATCAACTAAATTCTCTCTATCTCTTCGATTCAGTTGCGAAGTGTGTCATCCACCAAAGTGGACATCATTGTGTTTGGAGTTTCGAAATAGTTCCTAGTAATTGATTTGTTGTGTGGGTATGGCAAACTCGAGTCTGACAATACTAGTTTGATTCAAGTGAAAATTCTCTTATCTACTTTGTTGCGATCGCTGTACTCAGTTGTCAACAGGGCAAGAACAAGATGGCATTAACAAGAATGAGAATGGCCAAACAATAATGAAACTAAGCGGTGTTTGAAAATAGTACAGGGTGTCAAAATGGTTTGGATTGTTGAGGAGCCGAATTACCAAAGTGTGGTGAGGTGATGGGAAAAGTGCGGGACAAATTGTTGTACTTAGATTGCCAAATAGTCACCGGTTTCGAAAACTGCAGCCTCCACTGTCATCATTTCAAAGAAGAAATACTAGGGGGCACCCGGACTTGAACCAGGGACCTCTCGATCTGCAGTCGAATGCTCTACCACTGAGCTATACCCCCACACACCTTGATTCTGCACATCTTAATCTCACTTCCCTCAACTTCGCACTTCACCACGCACAAATACCCAACTTTAATTTTCAAATTCTACTCATTTCTTCTCAGTAGTGCGTTGGCATTTGTTTTGATTTACTTTCATATAATCTGGTTATTTGTTCTAATTGCTTAACTTTATTGATCTCGGTGTAAAATTAGCAGGTAGAAGGAACAAGTGTACTTGGAGACTTTGTAGTTTGTGTCAATTTTTTTTAATTTGCTCAAAAAATGTTAGTTCTATGATTTAACAAACTAAGCATAGCTCACTTTATTTTAAATTTTGCGTTTGTTGTTTACCAATAATTATTCACTCCAAATGACCTTCAAGATAATATTGGCAAATATATTATGACAACTATTAAAATTCTGTTCATTTAATTATGTTTTTAATTCAGTTCTAAATAACATTGAAAAATTGATTATGACTAAATTACATGAAATTTTAATTTGCTAAAAATGACTTAAGCACCTAATCATTGTCCTATAACAGCTAGAAATAGTAATTGAAAGGCTTTAATTAAGTTCTTTTCTTGTATCACATTTTAACTCATCGGATATTAATGTCATGGAGACAAAAGTTAGCAAATTTAAGATTTGCTAGTCTCACAATGTTTGCGATAGCGATGCAATAGCAATTAAAAGTGAACACTTTCTATTGTTCCTTTCTTTGCTTACGCTTAACTTCTGATTGTCATGCTGCTCAAAAACAATATTTTTCTACGATCTATTATCAGGAATTCAGTTGGTTTACTGTCTGTTATGATCAGTGTCCACAGGAAAGCTACCTTGATTTTTAGTTAACGATAGTTAATTAAATGTTGCAAGCACAACTAGCTACAGTTTGTGACTAAATTGTCATTAGAACATTTGTGGGGTCTGCTTCATTGATGGCGTATTCGATTGTAGGCAGAGTGGACTTTGCTCCACATTCCTAGTGTGCCCTGAGACTTGATTTCGATGATTACTTGTCATATCTAATTGACAGGCAAGTTTAAATATTTTCACCAAGTCCAAGAAAATGCCTAGTCATAACGATCGCCATCAAAGTTTGACACTTTGAAGTGAGGCCTTATGCAGCTTTATAAGTACGGAAAGCAAATAGGCACATTCATTTTTCAGGTAAAAACCTTTCCGTCATCCAAATATACTACCAAATGTCTTCTCACACAACTCAGCTTCGACCGTCTATGAGCTATTTCTATGAGGATATGGCCTCATATTATCATCATCTCTATTTGTGTCCAATCTATCTCTCCATTTTTACTAAATTTGTCTCTTTTCCAACAATCAATTCCTCAATCGAGAGAGAGAGGGTGCTCAATAGGCTTACCTTCACGTGATGCAAGCCCGGGCAGCGTGTATACATATTGCACGAGGTCTATAAACCGGCAGTTGACCTCCTACTTACAACTTAAAACTTACAACTTCCATGGCCTCACTTCATGCCATATTCCACTACTGCCAAGTACATACTGCGCCTTTTTAATCTACCTTTACTTCTGCCTCTCCTCTTATATATTTGTGAATCACTCTTCTCTTTCAATCACCTCTTTCATTTTGCACAATTCACTTATCTCAACTCTATGAAGACCAAAGTCAACTAAAGGTCTAATGATGACTATCATAAAGACTGCAATTTGATATTAATAACTCCACTTTTCTACTATCTCACTCACTCACGCACACACTCACTTACTCACACTTGCATTCACGCACTCATTCATTCGAACAAACATTCCTCAACGCCTCTCAATGCGATGGACTTAGAACCAGCCCATAAGCATTTGGATGAAATTAACCTCTCCCTCGGCCACACTGTGGCTTATCGCCCACACCTCATAGAGTGCCAGCCTAATACCCTTTAAGATAGTATTCGAAAAGAAGCCAAACAAATACACAAACATATAGAATATTAGAAGAGAAGGGATGTTATTTCATGCACAAGAAACACAAAAACAAAAATAAACAATGGTACCTGGACAGAGAAAAGGTGGCCGTGTCGTGGATAGGAATTGCACGTATTGGGAGATGAAGTGGTAGCGGCTCTTGTTGGACGGCCTTCAAGTACGCAGTGGTCTAAGTGGGCATATGCATTGTGAGAAGATGAGAAAACTGTACTATAAGCTCAATTAATAGGAGCAGTGAGGCCGAGGGGTTTGCCTTTCTTCTTCTCTATGTGCCAAACACGCCACCGCCTTGATAGTAGCCCAAACAGGAAACTGTACCAAATGCCTATTGGTTTCTTTATCCACTCCTCTTTCCACATGCAGAATAAGAAGAGTGAGCTGTGGCATAACTAGGTGTGGCACGAATTTCAGGTGATCGATCTGCACAATATGATCAAATATAACAACCACCACCACCACTAAATCCACTGCGTGAGAATCGATGACTGTAAAACCACTAGGCTCCATGAAATCAATGGCCTTATCACGTTCCCTTTAGAACATGGAATCTATCAAAACGATCCATCTCAAATATTTCTATATAAACAGGACATTTGGCGTCTGTGGTGCTGGTGGTGGTGGTGGTGGTGGGGGGGGATGGTTGGGAGTTCATCGGATTTGGAACGCAACAGCCTCATCTTCTTCACCTCAGCGGTGTGATGTTGGATGGTATGCAGTTTACCCATGCAAGAATGCGCTTCATTAACCGGTCGAAACAGTCGAAATAGCTTGTCATCAAGCCATTTGATATGTCTCACGTAGTCTTGGAGACGTGTTTGCATTCCCGGAACCTTGAGCACACCCTTCCAACCTCCAATCACCGTGCACGCATTCACAAGATCTGGGACTTATTGGTTTCTGTGGCATCCAATACAAATTGATGATCTCTGATTATCTAAAAGAATGAGTCATAGTGCACACATGAAAAGAAGTTAGCAGTGGGAGGGGGGCGTCGTATCCTCATAATTATACAATTATTATTCCCTATTATCATAACATATTTTTAAACTGAGTGATGAATATTTCCATGAGTGTATGTGTGTAATATAAAAAAACATCCAAATAGTGTCAAAATGGAATCATTTAATCTCATTCACAAATGCAAGTAAACATGTTCTAACTCTACTCTAATCTGCTCCACTCCACTCCAATCCACTCCACACATCTCATCTCATCTCATTCCATCTCTACTCTACTCTCTTCAATTCAATTCACCCCCATAAATCTAGGTTGGATAGACTGTAGTAACCTGATTACATCTAGGACTATTTAAATGATTGTGGCCGGGTGGGGGAAGGGGGGGGGGCATATCTCTAAGACTACCTCAACCCTCAGGGCTACATCAGATTGCCAATGAGGATATAAATGAATAGGTGGATTGGTGAAGAGATGGAGAGCTGGAGAGATGGATCGTTTCTCCACTCAGCAAACGCTACCAATTTGCCCTCCATCACAGCCACTTCTTCTTTCACTACGCAAACTCTCACGCCTTTGCATACTTCTTTCCGCTTTCCACTTCCTCCTATCAATAACCTTCTTCAATCGCATTCACAAAGCATATTCATATGTTCTAACTTATTATTTACTGAATAGATTAATCAATTAATTAAGTTATTTATTTATTTATATGAAATGGCAGGCGTTTTGATGGTTATCATTAGCCCTTTAGTTGGTGGCAGGCGTTTTGATAGATATCATTAGCCATTTAGCTGAGTGCAGGCGTTTTGATGGTTATCATTAGCCCTTTAGTTGACTCCAGGCTAGAGAGAGGAGAAGGAACATCAAAGAGAAAAATGTCGGGAGGGTAGAGGGAAGGGGTGGGTAGGGCTGAGAAAGAGAAGTATTTCAAAGACGAAAATAGAAAGGGTGGAGAAAAAGGTGAGGTGCGTACTGTGAAAGTAGTCGAATATGACATACAGCGGGGTGATGGTAGTTTGAAGTGAGAAGTCAACTCCCGATTTATAGACTTTTTTGCCGTATGAGTATACGTTGCCCAGGGTGCACCACGTGGAGGTAAGTCTATCGTACACCCCTTGTGATGAATGTGGTGAGATGTGAAGTGAGTGGAATTCTTGATTTAGTAAAATTTTGATTTTCGATATCTGGATGGAACTGTGCATAAGATACGGATGACTTGGTCATCGTGGATTTGTGTTAGTTGACTGAAATGTAGCTCATTGTCTGTGTGAGGTATGTGTATGTGTTTTGCGTGCGCGTGTGTGTGTGTGTACGTTCGGGTGTGTGCAAGCATGCAAGTGGAAATGGCCCTATAGTGGAAGTGTTTTGAAAAAGTTTAAAGAGACAGAAGAGGGAGCGGATTGAGGACAAAATGTGTTGGAATAAGTGTGAGATGAGAAGGAGGTGAAATTGTGGATTTATTTTACATTCTGATTTGGGAATCGAAATTGTGATGGGTGCGAAGTGGTGTGGTGTGGTGTGGTGAGGGTGGTGAGAAGAGAGAGGAAGGTGTGGTCATGGTTACGGTTGTTGTTGTTGTTGTTGTTGTTGTGGTTGTGGAGTAGTAGATGGAATCGGACGTCGAGGAGTTGAAGTTGTGAGTGGAGTAAATGATTTTGGAGGACGAAGTGGTTGTTGGATTTGGCGAAGTGAGCGAGACTGGTGCCGCTGGTGTTGGATGTGCTCTAGGAGCAGTTGGTAGAGGTGGTGGTGATGGTTGTGCTGGGTTGTTTGGGCAATGGTGTTGGTGGTGACGATGGTGAGGGGAGTGGATTTACGTGCGGAAGCTGCGCGTGTGAAATTGGGAGTGGCTGAGAGGAGACTTGTGTGTGTCATTGCAGAATTAGCCCCAACATGGACATGAGCATGAGTATAAGTATGAGGAAGACGAGATGTAGGTGGAGATGAAAGGAGAGGTGTTGGTGGAGGAGGAGGAGTGGAAGTGGGAGTGGGATGAGAAGGAATAGAAGGAGGAGCATGTGAGTTGGGTGCGAAATATAAGGAGGATGAAAAATGGTGTGAGTTGTGGTGTGGTATGCCGAGGGATGGATAAACGGAGAACTTGGGTGGAGTGAAAGCGGAGAGGGGTGCTGTCACGGAAGCCATGTTATTTAAAGTGAATGTGGCATGAGTTGGGGCGAATTGAGATGTCGCAGCAGCATGTGGTAATTGGAAACGAGACCCCAAAGTGAGCGCGCTGCAAATGTCGGTGGTGTTGGTAGCAGAAGCAGAAGAAAGAGCAGTAGAAGGAGGTGGAGGATGGGGATTGGGATGAGGAGTAGTAGGAGGAGGAGGAGTAGTGTGAGGAGGGCGAGGGTGATTGTGTGGTGATTGAGGAAGGGGCGGCGGAGGAGGCGTATGTGGAGAATGTGGCGGAGAATGTGGTGGAGAAGGAGGTGGAAGAGCATGCCTGTGTTTCGTGTAGTGAATGAGATTGGATGAGGCAATGGCATTGTCACTACGCAATTCACACATCAAAGTCTTCTCGTTGGTTATGCAGGTGCTGTCGCCTAGGATGCAGCTCTTGGATTTGTTTGGGCATCCAAGATGGTGTTGCTTAGAATGGACTTTGTGATGGCGAGCAAGTAACGTTGGTCGAGAGAATTTCTTGTAGCAAATTGCGCAGTGTGTGTGGCGCTTGGGGCCAGTGATGTGCCTCTTAGTGGTGATTATGGACATGACAAGGTGTGTTTCCTCGGAGATGGAGAGAGAGGAGTGAGAGGAGAGGGAGGAATGGGAGGAGAGGGAGGAGGCGGTGTAGATGGCGGAGATGTGGGAGGTGATGAAGGATTGGGAGACTGAGTAGGAGGTGTGTGTGGATGCACGCACGTGGGGCGTTGAGATGTGTTTTGTGTGAGGTGATGATGAAGGTCTGGGTGAGTTGGTAGAAGAGGGAGATGAGGGAAAGAAAGGCGATTTGTGGCAGCGTGCGTAAGTGTGAGAATTGTTTGGTTTGAGAAGTAAAATGTCGGGGGACATTTGAACTGGATGAGAAGAAGATTGTGTTGAAGGCGGACACAGTTGCAATTGAGTAGAATGTGGATAGTAGGATTTAGTAAAAATTGGAGGAATTTGATGATGGGTTTGGCGATTGGTGTGATGGATGTTGGGGGAATAACTGGAACCGCGGAATGTTGGTATTGGGTGGGAGGTAGAAGTGGATGGAGTGGAAGAAGAGAAAGTGGGAGGTGGATGGGAAGGGAAAGGTTTAGGAGAAGGAGGGGTACGGGAAGGATGTGGAGAAGCAGGGCAAATGTGGCGATAAGTGGTAGAGGAAGTGGAGGACAGCGAGATAGAGGTCTCGAGGGAGGTAGTGAGGGTGTTATCGATGGAGGTGACGAGAGCTAGTTGGGAGAGGGAGGGTACGTGAGGCAGTGAAGAGAGAGCACCTGTTGAAGTGGAGCCTAACGAAGAAGGAGTTGGAGGAGGTGAATGGAGTGCATTGGTTGTTCGCACACTGGAGTGGTTGCTTGAAGAGAGGAAGAAGTGGTACGTTTCGAGAAAGTGTAAAGAATGAGGTGAAGGAAGAGGAGGAATGGCGTTAGATGCAGGATGTGATGAAGAGAAGAAATGGTGAGGGGGAGGCAGAGAAGTTGGATGATATTGGGAAATCAGGGTGTCGAGATGTTCAGGTTTTGCCTGTATAGGAAGAAGTGGTCGGTGTGTGCAATTTGGAGAGAGAGAGCAAGACATGTTGACTGTAGATGTATCAGTTGAAATATGACATATGTATCCTTTGGCGGGATATATATATAGCGTGCAAATGCCAAATGTATCGAATGAGGTCACTTGGGGTCAGATAGTAGCCAGTGTAGTAACTGATAATTTGGCCCAGTACAACTTAATGGTCTGCAATCCAGGTCAAGAGGCCCAGGTCACGTCACTTATGACAGATGTGAGACTTCAGTTTTTATGCAGAGTTGCACTCAAACGATCGATAAAATTTCTTTCTTTTACAGCCACTTCACACAGCCACTTATTTACCTGTATAATGCACTTAGTACCGCATTCGCAAGGTTGGAAATCGGCTTGGAGGAAAGCTGTCTGCCAAATTGTGCTGAATGTTTATTTATCTATTTATTAAGTTATTTATTTATTTATTTCAAATGACAGGCGTCTTTATAATTATCATTAGCATTATAGCCTTCCTTGCAGAGAGGGGAAATTTCGAGAGAAAGGAGAGAAGAGTGATTTGCATATGTAAGAGTGGCAGACAGGCAGACAGACAGAAATGTAGAGACAAGGTAAGATGTGTACTGTTGAAGTAGTTGAATTAGACATGCAGTGTGGTGATGGTAGCTTGAATTTAGAAGTCAACTACAGGTTTTGGGGTGATGGCAATTTGAAGTCAGAAGTCAACTGCCAGTTTAGTGTGGTGATGGTAGCTTGAATTTAGAAGTCAACTACAGGTTTATTGACTTTTTTGCCGTATGAGTATACGTTGCCCAGGGTGCAACAGGTGGAGGTAAGTCTATCGCACACCCCTTATGTCCAATATAATTTAGTGTTATATTTGCGACGTAGCATAGGACAATAGATAGAATTCTTAGTTCTGATTGTTGTATTTATTATTTATTTTAATATATATATATACTTTGCTTAGGATTCTTTGCAGCATTACACTTTTTTGAGATTGCAATTATTTAAACACACACACACACATATATATATATATATACTTTGCTTTGGATTGTGGTATTAGCGGATTAATTATCACACTTCTTATCGCGTGAATGTATTTGTATTGGTTCATTGAATTTGTTTAGGAGCTTTCAGATATTTAAGGACTAGGATTCTTTGCAGCATTACACTTTTTTGAGATTGCAATTAGAGATTGCATTCAACAGAATTGAGTAGATTGAATTATGCTAAGTGTGCATAAGAGTACCTTGTGGAAATTAAACAGGGAAAAGTTTTATTATTATATTTTATCTTATCCCTTGAAAATACTAGCATTATTTAAAATACTACACAATGTTTTGGCCGCTCAAATGTGCTCAAGAATCTTTGCACCTCCATATTGTAAATCGAAGCCTTTAATATTTGCTTTGATAAAGATGGCGTACATTTAGTTCAAATCGAATGGAATGTAAATGCAAATAATAACATGAATTTAAAATTATGATAAAAGGATATTTCTGAGTCGTGTGGGACATGTCATCGCATGCCTGCACGTCAGGATTGGGAGGTGCAGCCGTACAACTCTGTGTGCAGTGACCGTACAAACAGTGGCCAATCAGTGGCCTCCATTTGTTTACCCTAATCCGCCAAGCAGATCATGACTAAGCTCCCTGCGTGTACACTTTACTCACAATAACCCTACTGAATAAGCGTGTTCTGGGCTATACGTCTGTTTTCCCTATGGGTGGGCTAGAGTTTAGCTAGTTCTGGGAGCCTTATTAAATGTAGGAGAATCTGTCACAGAGAATTCCGAGTCAGTCAGGCTTTACTAGTGAAGCAATCCGCTACAGTCTTGAAAACTCATAATTTTTCTACCCCTATAAAAGTCTGAATCGGGTGATTAGTGTGTGCCCTTATTTTAAGCTCAATTATTCGTTAAATGCTTTAATTCCTTCTCTTTCACAATCAGGGTAATTTATAATTTCATAATTGAAAACTGGCATTTGCTTGTGTAATAGTGAGAAAACAGGGCGAGAGCGATAGACTTACCTCCACGTGGTGCACCCTGGACAACGTCTATTCATACGCCAAAAATGTCTATTGCTCGGCATTTGACTTCAACTTATTATGATTAGCCTGAAACAAAGCTATAAGAGAAATCGCCTTCGTAAGGGCGTATCGCAACTTCTACAGATCCTTCAGTGGAATGCTGGAAGGATGTCACGAGACAAAATTATTCAAATCCAGAAAAGCCTACAAACCTATGATGTAGACATTTTCACAATTATGGAAGCAAACCTTTTGGATGACAAACTGAAATACTACCAATTCTATGGTTACACCTTATACCTCCTACCTAAATACCTGCAAGTTGTAGGTGGAATTCTGACTGGAGTTAAAGAAGGCTTCACATCACATTACAATCTAATCAAGAGTATGGACTCGACGCAAGACATTTGCGAAATAATCAGATAAAATAATTGGAAATGTAAAAACTACTTCAAGATATACGCAATCAATAATCCACCATAGAATAGTCCCAACTTTGAACTTCTCAACATCTCACACAAAACTGTGGTATTAGGAGACTTCAACGTCCACATCTCACACAAAACTGTGGTATTAGGAGACTTCAACGCATATTGCATTTGCGAAGCGACTAAATCATTTTTTGCGTGTGTAATAATGATAAAACAAAATCATTGCTGTGTACCACATTAATTTATTTTCAACTTAAGTGAATTTTACACCACTTCGTCAGCCCCACAAACAGCTCCTATTTCACATTCATGGAAGTATTTGAATTTGAACCCTTCCACTCGATTCCCAATGAACTTTTCACACTCTCTTTCAATTGTATTGGCATTTGAAGGTCATGGGGAAAAGGAAACTTCTACAGCTACGTCATCATTAATATTAAATCCAATGATTTTGAAGGCTCAATATAAGGCTTTTTTTCAATTAAAAAACAAGTTTCTGCTTATGGGGGGGGGGGTAGACTGGGTGAAAATATGGAGACATGACGGACTGGAGTAGTGTTAAATATTTCATATTTCATATTTTAAATTTCTCCAACGCAAACCATTTTCTAGTGCTATCATATTTTAACCTTTAGCGTATGCTGTTTTAGCAATCTTCATGTCAAATGTGTAAATAAGGTATGGGACTTGCAATCATTTTATTTATTTATTTCAAATGGCCATTTATTTCATTAGCCATTTAGTTGACTTCGAGCTTCACAGAGGGAGGGTTCATCAGAGTAGCAGAAAATCGAGGGGTGGTGAACAGAAGAGCGATTCACAGATGTAAAAGAGGCAGACAGACACAAAGGTAGAGAAAAGGGTAAGATGAGTACTGTGTAAAGGTGACGAATATGACAAGCAGTCGAGCCATGGTAGCTTGAAGTGAGAAGTCAACTGCCGGTTAATAGATTTTTTGCCGTATGAGTATACGTTGTCCAGGGTGCACCACGTGGAGGTAAGTCTATCGCACACCCCATCTTACAATCATTATTCTTCTCCTTTTAGAAGCTGATTGTATACTTTTCTTAACTTCTTACCAACTGAAGATAGCTCAAACCAATGAGTTAGAGCAACGTGCATGTGATTTGAAACTGATTCGAGGCTGAACAGCAATTCCAAAATTCTAAACGTGCAAGCCCAAAGCTTATGAGTGTTGCGGAATTTAAAAGTCGTCGACTCGCTGTTACCGCATGTTTTTGCTTTGCACTGGTCGTGACGTACAACCGAGTTGGTCTGTGTCTCAGCAAATGCCTCTATGGTGACAGTGGCTTCCCGTTAGAGCCGTAATCAATAGCTTTGCAAGTCAACGTTTTTAGAAGTTGGTGGAGGAAATTGAGAATGCTTTAATCGAGCCTCGTGCCTTGAATTACTTTAATTACTAAATTTCTCTATACAGAGTAAGCACAATGAGATGGGGCATAAATGTGTTTATGGGCTAATATTTGACAGAATTGATTTTACTCTCAGAAATATCATAAGGGCAAGGAGGAAGTAGAGAATGCTGTGAAATAACCAGGTAAACTCGGCGTAAATAAGCCCATTTCTCGAAAATTTGAAATATACGTGGCCTTGAACAATTCAGTGAATCAGCCATATGAAGGAGAGTGCAATCATTGAGAGACATTGTGAAGGGGAGAATCCGATGCAAATTGATCTAATCGTATTCCACGTTTATTTTGTCAGTGGTGGAGGCATGAAGAGTTCAATTAAATAACTGCCAAAAATAGGGTGCAATAAGAACCATGCAGGCTTGGACTTTTTTCTTTTTCCGCTACAATCTACAGTTTGGCAAGGTCATCAATATCGTCTGATCAACGTTATTTTCGATCATTGTTTAATGCCCTTGATATAGCAATTAACTAAACTATGACGTAGATGTGCTGAGTTGGAATATTTGTCATGCTGTGTTAACTGTAGTTTAGTGATTCAATTTAAATTTCCCACTAATTCTTCCCCTGGTGTACTTCTCGTAGACCTCGCCCCCTATTTTGTCAATTCTTAACAGGTTTTTTGAAGTCCAGTTACTCAATCCTTAAATCTCTCCATCTGTCACTTGGTAGATGTTCCATAAAGGGTATAATTGCAAGATGGTTCTGTTATTGAATTATTCAAACTTGGTAGAATTGGATAACACAGATCATCTGTCCTGCAAATTTCCTGCGCAAATTTCATATAAGGGCATTTCACCTTCATTCCCAGCACTATGGAGATATGTGGTTGGATCAACTTGAAATCTTGAATAAAATCGCGTTCGAGACAAAAATGTAAGCAAAAAATCATATTCATCATCATCGTCATCGTTGATGACGTTGGGGACTCTTAAGAATTTAATTAAGCGCCAAAAATCGAATGACCTTGGCTCTTGTTGATTGGGGTCTAATTTATGATTATTAGAACAAAGAAGAAATCGGAATTAGCTTTAAGAAAATTCAAATAAAAGCGCCTAAATAAATCCATCAATTATAATAGAATGTGGACAGAAAAAACTAAACACATTATTGAATTAGCATTGTTTTTAAAAATTTCATGAAAACCGATTTTGCTATGGCC